CATGTTATGCTTGTTAGATTTTTCTTTTGTTCAATTTGATTTCAAGATGTCTTAGTTTAGATTTATTTTTTGATGTATATTGTTCCGTCCTGATGAATATTTGTATATGTTTATGATATATATTTGTGGTAGATAGAATTCCTGAACTGTTTTTCTTCCTTCTGATATTTTCTGCACTAAATGTTATACATGTTAAAAATCAAGTGTAAGGGTAAGAAAACCATCTTAATTTTTTTTATTTTGCTCCAGTTTATATAATATTGTATGTGTGTTAAAGTAGTCTTTTACTTTGTAATTTTCATGTTATACATATTAACTTGAGATTTACCGCTACACACACCTATTTTTACTACTTGTACTTGAACTGTTTTTATGTTTGGAACCCTGTGATAGATAATTTTGTTAAATTTATTTCTATTCACACTTGATATATACTGTAATGTTTTAAATTATCTAAAAATCAAGTTTGGGGGGATGAAAAATCATTTTAAAGCTTAATTTTATTTGTCCTCAGTAGCCTATATTTGATTTGTTATTACTTTTAAAATGACATATGGTATGTGGCGTTATCTTTTGGATATTAAACTTTTGATTTTTAGAAATCATAAAGAGGAACTTAGTAGAAAAGTTAGTAAAAATGATGAAACTAAAGTTAATATATTTAGTAGAAAATATTAGAAAAATGATTTTACTATTTATAGTAGGAAAATTTTAATTTTTAAAAATTAAAGATTTTTAGAATAATAATTTTTAAAGAATTTAGATTATATGAAAATTCTTTTTCAAAAACTAATATTAAATTTTAAGTTAAGGAAAAAAATAATTTTTTAACTTTAGAAAAGGAATAGTGAAATTTAAAATCATTAAAGACCTATCCAGATATAGTAATCATCACCTAAAAAAGTAAGAATTAAAAAGATCCTGAAAGAAAAAAAACAAAAAACAAAAGAAAAAAAAAGAAAAAAAATAAGAAAAGAAAAGAAAAAAAAGTATGAACAAGGGAGGAGAAGCTTGAGGAATAGGACCTAATTAAAAATTTGGTTTCACTTGAATTTTTCTAAGGAAGAAAACTTAAGATCAACCTTTACTTAATTCTGAAAGTATTAGTAAAAATCATTTTCAATATAGATGTCATAAATTATAAAATTAATGTTTTTCTAAAAATCCAAAGTATGGGAAAATTTCAATTAAATTTGAATTAAATAGAAAATCAATATTCCTAAATTCAATACTAAATGTTATGATACCTTAGATATCATGTGCTTTACTAAAAATCCTTCTAAATTGGACTATAACATTTCTAAAACAAATTTTTTGTTATCTAAGAAACTAAACCCACTACCACATGTTAACAATTTTGGTTTTTGAAGTTATAGTGTTACTTGAGTAACATTTAAGTTTGAGGGAATTTATCTACCTTAAAATTACTTATTTTTTATGCACATTTTATACTCATTTTTAAGGATATTATGTTTTAATAAAATTTATTTTGTGTGTTTTTTATTACAAGTCCAAGAAAAAGAGGTTAAGAGCAAAAATAAGCAAAAATACATAAAAAAGAGCAAATGTGCCAAACCAAAGAAAATTGACGAAACCTGTCGAACTGGCACCTAGGTGTCGGATGCAGATTGTGGCTGGCTTCTAGGCATGACAGTTTTGGTGCCTAGGCACCACTGTTGTTTTCTAGAAGATCCATTGAATGAGACCGGATTTTGAAGAGATGTCTGAAGCAACCCTTAGTGATTTTTGAAGCTCTATATATAGGGATTAATTCTAAATGTCAAGGGGAAGTTCTAACGTCATTTTGAAAAGGGGAGGCACCCATCTAGAGTGGGCGGCCTCCTTAGTGAGGTTGTGTGAGTTTTGTGATTTTTTAAGTATTTTGAGACTTATGGAGTTAGAGAAGTCAGGGAACTTTAAAGGAGTACTTGGGGAAATATTTCAGATAAGTATTTGTTTCTTTGTTTTAAGTCTTATACTTTGGATTTAAGTTTTATAAATATGTTTTGTTTTGTTATCCTTATGCGTTCTGAATATTTTTCTCATTTTCTCCTTGCAATGTGAAGTAATCAAGTAAGTGATTTTGATTTTGTTTAGAACTTACCTTTAATCCTAAAAATTGTGATGATATTTTATCGATCCTTCATTCATTTTACAAATTGGTCACTTGTTTTGTTAAAATTTATTGAGGAAACTTATAGAACTGAGAGGGCTAAGATTTATTGACTTGTAAGTATCACAATTCACTTTGGGAATACCAGTGGTGATCGCCTGAGGGGGAGTGAAAATAGATAGGGAGATAAGATTTGATCGGCATAAAATTGAGGTTTCTAGTGTGACAGGCTAGATTTTTTTATCAATTTGGTTTAGAGATTATAACTAAGGGACACTGGTAGGTCCTATAGAGAGAGCACAATGGATAATCAGGAGTGAGAGACTGGAATCTACCCAACACTACTATACATGCCGACACCTTCTTTAGATTAGACAATGTTCTTTACACATCGAACGAAGTAAATATATGCATGCTCCTATTTGTCACAATACCAAAGTTAAACTTCTAAACATTTGTAATCCTATACTGATTATGAATAATTTGCGAGGAGAAAGTTTCTTTAAATATCTTTAATTTTCTAATTTTAGTTATTTTCGAGTCTCTACATTTACTTATAAGTTGTACTCATAGTAATTAGTAAATGGTATTTCATACTTGAATTACTTTCATATTTTCCTAGATTATATTCTATTGTTTAAAGTAAAGGTTTTTTTTAGTCAAATACATAAAGTTACCACATTCTCTATGGGATCAAAACTGGGGTTTTTTAAAGAAAACTCTATCTTACTTGAAACGATACGTTTACTTGCGTAGTACTCATAGTGTGTAAACTATAAATCAAGCTTTACATTCATTTTGCACACTAGCCGCTTAAATTAAATTGGGTCAAGTTTTTTTGCCAGAAAACCTATATAAAAACTACATAATTGCAGGTTGGGTAAACTCATGTTAGGAATCCTAATCATATCATTCTACTTATGAAAACTTTTTCTTTAAAAAGAGTTAAATGTCGTTAACGTAAGAGTAGACTTAATGTTATAATAACTTAGTTTCTGAACTTAACAACTTCTAATTACACCTAAAAATCTCAGGATAATTAGAAATATATAAATAAAATATTAAGTAGTAAACCAATGACATGTTAATTCTTTTTCAATTTTTCTAAACCAAGTTGTTGTTATCTAAACTGTTACTTGACATAGAGGAGTTATATTAATTTTTTTTTTAAGACTTATCACTCTTGGAGACAAAATGTTGTTTAACCAAATATAATAATTCTCAGTAGAATAAGAAGTAAAAAAAAATAAAAAAAGGAAAAGAAAAATAAGAAAATAATAAAAATAAGAAAAAGAAAGTAAAAACGTTGAAAATGCCTACGACGAAACTTGAGGTTGACAAAGAAAAAAAAAGACTGGGGAGGTGTTTTAATAGATCTTACGTGATACAACTTTCATGTTTTTTAATGAAATCTTTCAAATATTATCTTTAAGTGAAAGATTATGTCAGTTTGTTTTGGATAGTTACGCTTGAATTGATTTAAAATGTCTGAGGCCGACGAAAATATTTTAACTCGACTAATTTAAGAATTTTTAGATTTACTAGATTCAGTATGAAGGGAATTAAAGATGAGGCTGAGTTATTAAATGTTAATAATAGTTGACCCTAAAATGACAATTATACACTTTTATATTACTTTATAATTTTCATGCTAAACAAACCTGCAAGAGTGCCTATTATACTTTCATGAGGCCCCGTTAAACAATGAGATTACTTGAGGGCAAGCAATAAAGTAAGTTTTGGGGGTATTGGCAGGAGTCATTTTAAGTGATTTTACATGCATTTATTTCTACATTTTACATGCTATTTTGCCTTATTTATGGATTTATATTTATGAAAGGTTTTACTGGTGATGTGTAGGTTACAGAAGATCGTACACACATTTTGGAACAAGAAAAAAAATAAGGAAAACGGGGCCAGAACTGGCGTGACCATGCCTAGATTGGGGTGACCATGTCACTCTTTCAAAGGCCCGATTTGACAATGCTTGGATTGAGCATGACCACAACACTAGATTTAGATCTCAGGCATGACCACATCAGTTTTTGGCATGACCATGCCGAGGGAGTAGGAAATATTTTTGGAAAGATTTTTTTTGCCAAATTCAAGAACTATGTTATAAAAAGAGATCTTATAGCAGCTTTGGGGCATCTTGGATCTTTGTGGAACGTCTGGGATCATTAGGAATGAATTTTGGGAGGAGCTCATCGGAGATTAGGGTTTGAGAGCTCATCCTAAGGGTTCTCTTCCTCTTTCTTTGAGGAGGGAACCTATAGGGTGGTTTTTTGTCTTCTTCTTTTCTTGATGTTTTCCTGGTGAGTTTGATGAGATTATAAAGAGAGATTGAGTGCATGTGTGTAAGAAGAGATGTATGAGAGCATGTATTGATCGCATCGTATTGCTTAGGTCTATTGACTCGGTGAAATGTTTTTATACCACTTACACTGTCTTCCTATTTTATGCCCGCAATCACAAATCTTATATTTTCTCATTTTTCTACATTATAATCGATTTTGTTTCTTTTTTTGATGATATAATACCTGGTTTTCTTGTTGCTTTTTTTATGAATTTTTGTTTTGTAAACTTCTAAAGTTGATATGTTAACCTTGTGATATTCTTTCTTCTGATTTGGATATATGGATTTTTAATGTACTTTAATGGAGGAGTTATAGATATTTATAACTCCCAATCGATTTTTGGCACCTTTTGGCATTGTTTTTATTTGAATATTTTGTTTTGCTCAAGAGTTGGGTAGATTATATATATATATATAAATATATATATATATAAATA